GATAATAAACCCTGATACTTTCTAGATTGCCTGCCTCTGTCATTTTGAAGTTTGTAACAAGTCATCCATCCTTTTTCCGGGCTCTGCACTGCTTGGTCTTAGTGGCGCAGGGAGCAGTTACCCTGATCAAACATTCTCTGGGGAACCAGTGTGGGGCAGAGGTAAGGAGGCAAGGAAGAGCCGGAGATGCGGTAAGACATCGGACCATGTGCCCTGGTGGCATCATGTCTTGAAACACAAACACAAATCCCTGGAGTTTTGCCACGTACAGAAATCAGCACATTTCTCATTAGTGGAGTCCGGACTCCACTTCCCTGGGGAAGTGCCCACCTGCGTGGCACCACGTGGGAGCTGCTGGGAAAGCTGACGCCTCTGCCCGGCCACGGCCGCCACCGGCTTCACTCGGGTCACCTGCGTGGCCTCCGGGGCCCCTCCCAGGGCAACTCCGATGGGGACATTTCGTCAGTGCTCAGTAAGTGCTGATAGCATCTGTCCTTCTGGGGAGGAATGTGGTGTTAGCTCCAGAAGGCCCTCAAACCAGTTATCTACGGCTGGGTAAAGTTGCCCCCAAACTCAAGGCTATGTAAATATTAGCTCACGGCGTTTTGGAGGGCCAGGAGTTTAGCTGGGTGGTGCTTCTGGGTCACGATGTGGGTCAAGGCTGCAGGATCCACTTGCGAGAGGCTTTGGTCACGTGTCTGGCCTCGTGGTGCTGGCTGTGGGCAGGAGGCCTCGGTTCCTCACTGAGTGGGGCTGATCCTCATGACGTGACAGCTGGCTGCTCCGAGGGCGAGTGATCGAGAGAGCCAGGCGGGGGCTCCAGCACCCTTTAGGAGGGCCTGGAAGTCGGACCTTGCACAGATCCGGCCTGTTCACAGCAGAGCAACCCGCAGGGTGGGGATAGCAGGAGGCAAGACTCGTTGGAAGTCCTCCTGAGGGCAGCTGACGGAGGCCTCGTTACTGGCCGTGCAGCCCTGCACGGCGCGTTGGTTTATCTGGAGAACTGATGGGAGGGGCACGAGCAGGGGCTCAGAGTGGATTCTGGATGAAATTGGGCCATTTCTGTGTGACCCAGCCAGTTTCCCGAGGCAGCAGACGCACTCACTCCCTATGTTACGGCTTGGACACGCCTTGGTTCCCTAAACTCCTGCTGATGTTCCAACCCCAAGGCCCTAGGTGAAAGGCGAATGGATTACTGTTAGGTGGAGCATCTGGGAGGTGGGCCTCGGGGGAGGTCTTTAGGCCTCAGCGGGCCCCGCCCTAGGGAGCAGAGGGTTGGTTTTACAAGCAGGTGCTTCCTGTGGCCTGCTTTCCGGTCACCGTGTGATTCTTCCTCCGCCCGTGTTCTGCCATTGCCAGCTTTTTTTTTTTTTTTTAAGATTTATTTATTTTATTTGAAAGTTACAGAGAGGCAGAGAGGGAGAGGTCTTCCATTCGCTGGTCCACTCCCCAAATGGCCCCAATGGAGTTGGGCTGATCTGAGGCCAGGAGCTTCTTCTGGATCTCCCATGCAGGTGCAGGGGCCCAAGGACTTGGGCCATCTTCTACTGCTTTCCCAGGCCACAGCAGAGAGCTGGATCAGAAGTGGAGCAGACCTGAACCTGGCGCCCATATGGGATGCTGGCACTGCAGGCAGTGGCTTTACCCACTACGCCACAGCGCTGGCCTCCATCACCAGCTTCTACCAGATGCCAGACTGCCGTTCTCTGAGCTGAAATAAGCCTTCTTGCCTGCTGTGTTACCCCTCAGTAACAAGAAGCTGAGACCCCGTGTGAGATGCTTCCTGCACTTCCCACTTCTCCCTACCAGTGATTTTGGAGAGTAGGAAGAATTTTAAGGTAACTCCCAAGATTTCAGCCCTTGAGTGTATACAGCCTGTATAATTCCCTCCATTTGCATGTGGGCAGGTCATGTAACTATGATGAGATGCCACTAGATTTATGAGTAAGTTCCGTTCAATAGCAAAGAAGGGGAGGGCACTTGACAGATGTCATTGGTGTCCCGGGCCAGTCGATGGGAACCTGACTGGGTTGGCCTGAAAGATGCAAGGTGCCATGGATCCTATGGCTGCAAGGAAATGATTTTGCCAACGATCAGGGAGAATGCAGGCCTGGCTGACACCCTGACGCCAGCCTGGAGACCCTGAGCAGAAGGCCGGCTGAGCTGTGCCTGGACCTCTGGCCCACAGAGACTCAGGGACAGTACGCGTGTGTGGCTGTAACCCGCTCCCGTGGTCACGCGGGTGCCCAGAGTGCAGGAAGGACTTCGCCATCTGTAAACGGAGGGAGGGTTCCCCCTCTGAGTCATCGCTAGAAGTGCCTCCGCAGCAACACTGACAGCAAACAGCCCGTATCCCTGCTGAAGCCGCGGCACACATTCTATCCCCACGACGCCTTATGAAGCCAGTGCCGTTATCTCCGTCTTCACAAGCAGAAACAGCGTGGCTAACTGGCTGCAACCAATCAGACTCACCCCACTGGTACCTAGAATTTTGATTCCAAGATGCCTGTTGGGTGAAAAACCACAGTACAGTGGCATTCTTTCATGTTAGCATGATTCCTTTGGGGCCACCTGTGGCTCTGGCATCCCATACGGGCGCCAGTTCATGTCCCAGCTGCTCCACTTCTGATCCAGATCCCTGTTGATGCACTTGGGAAAGCAGTGGAGGATGGCCCAAGTGCTTAGGCCCCTGCACACATGTGGGAGACCTGGAAGAAGCTCCTGGCTCCTGGTTTCCGCCTGGCCTAGCCATGGCCGTTGCAGCCATTTGGGGAGTGGACCAGTGAATTGAAGATCAATTCTCTCTCTCTCTCTAACTCTGCCTTTCAAATAAATAAATCTTAAAAAAAAAATTTCTTCGAAAATGAGAGATTTCCTAAAGCTCATGGGAAAAAGGAATTAGCAAATTAATTTTGTGCAAAGATTTTTGAAAACATTTGAAAGTCAGAGAGAGAGAAATCTTCCATTTGCTGGTTCACCTTTCAAAGACCTGCAGCAGCCAAGGCTGGGCCAGGCTGCAGCCAGGAGATTGAATGTAATCCAGGTCTCCTGCATGCGTGGCAGGGTCCAAGTACATGAGCCACCATCTAACTGCCTCCCAAGGTGCGCATTAGCGGGAGGCTGGAGCCCAGGCACTCTGATGGAGGAGGTGGTGTCCCAAGTGGCGTATTAACTATTGTGTGCCAAACACCCACCTCTGGTACGAAAGACGCTTGAAGTCTGTGCACACGGGCATCATCATAAGGTTCATGGAAAACACATGCATGGGCTGGGTTTCACATTTTCTCTGCAGCAAAATAAACTTCTGTTTTAACTTCATTTCCTACAAATGTTTCGATGCACCTCCTAGAGCTGGGTAAGGAGGGGAGCAGCCCTGCACACAGAGAAGCGCTGAAGGTGAACTTCCGACATCAGCCAGCTTGGGGAGCTGGGTGTTTGGAACCAGACCGGGGGGAGGGGGTCTCCGGGTGAGCCTGGAGGGCTGGGGCCCACTCCAACACTGTCACAAGGGGAGCCTGGTGAACCTGGTCACAAGGCCCTCCCTGCCTCCCCTATACCTTGCCCTCCCGTGTCCATGTGAACACACACCCCCTCCTTGGCTCCAGCTGGCTGTAGCAGGTGTTCCCCTCTGCCCACTGAAGTCATGACCACTGCCCTGCCTGCCTTTGTGCCTTGGGGTCTGGAGCAGCGCGAAGCCTGACGGGGAGGGGGCCCTTTGTGTGAGTATTGCCAAAACCTGAGAGAGGCCCTCTGGGTTTCCTTTCCTCCCAGCCACTTCCTCCCCATCTTCACAGTTCATGCCCTCCGCGGCCCACATCCTCCCCAGGGAGGGAGACGTCTCAGACTCTTACCCCCACACGAGGTAGGCTCGGTTTCCTTTTGTGGAAGACCCAAATCAACAAACCAAAGGGAGAGAGGGCAACTCTAAGGTCAGAGCTTCAACCCAGAGAGTAACTTGCTAAAGGGACCGCAGGTGGCTGGCGCTGCGGCTCACTAGGCTAATCCTCCACCTTGCGGCGCCGGCACACCGGGTTCTAGTCCCGGTCGGGGCGCCAGATTCTGTCCCGGTTGCCCCTCTTCCAGTCCAGCTCTCTGCTGTGGCCCGGGAGTGCAGTGGAGGATGGCCCAAGTGCTTGGGCCCTGCACCCCATGGGAGACCAGGAGAAGTACCTGGCTCCTGCCATCGGATCAGCGCGGCGGCCATTGGAGGGTGAACCAACGGCAAAGGAAGACCTTTCTCTCTGTCTCTCTCACTGTCCACTCTGCCTGTCAAAAAAAAAAAAAAAAAAGGGACCGCAGGCGCCGTGATGGCTGGGGGACTCTGAAACAGAGATTCTGCACTTGATCTTAGCCAAAAGGCCGAGAAGCGATTGAAACAGATATTCTGGCCTCATCCTCACTACATGCGTCCCCTCCCCTCCACAACACATACACCCGGCCTATGCCCAGCAGTGTGGCCCCGTGAGAATTCAGAGACTCCCAGAGCTCCAACTGAGCGTCAGGAGTACAGGATTCCAGTGAGTGACAGGCACTGCCATCCACCTGCTATGACCTTGGCCTCTTGAAGCTTCCGTTTCTCCATCTATAACAAGAGCAAATATGGACGGGAGCAACCCTGCTCACTGAAGTCATGTGGGAGAGTGGGCAAGTAACATGGACTCCCGGGCACCGCCCTCGTTTCTAACCCAAGGGTCTGTGCTACAGCCTGGATGTCTAATTTTATAGCTTGGTAGATGATCCTAATGTGAAGATTAAATTAATTGATACATGGATTGTAGAGTGGAATCCCCCGCAAGTGTGAAGAATTGTGTGAATTAACCTACAGAGGATCCCGAGAGCACAGAAGGACTTAAGATGATCTTTGTTTTGTTTTTTAAGATTATCTTTTTAAGGAACGTAACAGCTTTCAACTGCTATGAGTGAATGAATGAATGGTGAAAATACACCCCTCCGCAAGGGAACATTGCCACCTGCTGGTTTCACGTTGCAATTTCTGGATATCTGCCAACACAATGTTATTTATTGAGCACCAACTCCAGCGCAGGGCACAGCGAATGCACCCTCTAGGACACACGGAGATGAGAACCGCTTTCCCCACGAAACTCAGCCTAGGGGGACATAGAGCCCTTTGGTCCAAGCTGGGTGGCCACACGGTTCCCGGAGCCAGCATGTGAGACGGCAGCTGGCTTCTTAGATGTGGCACTTATGCTCAGAAGGGCCCTGCACTTGACTGCGTCATCTCCTGTCCTTGCGTCGAAGTTCCTCCTTGTTCCCGAATCAGACTCTCCGGAGGCGGGCACTCATTTCAGGGCATTTCCCACCCAACTTGCTCCCTGAGTTTCTCAGCTGGGCTCCACCCTTCTCCAGCAATCACACAAGGTGAGGCGTTGGCCGTGTGGGTTTCAGCCTGCTGATGGCTGATGACGGAACTTAGACTTTGGGGAGTCTAAAGCGCAAACCCCATTTCCTCCTTTCTGGAAATGTCAGCTGCTTCTTTTTCAGGGGACTTCCCGTGCTCTGGGGCAGATGTTCTACAGGAAATGAGCTCTTCCTCAGAAGGTCAAGGAAGGCCCAGGGGGCTAGACCCCGCACTTCAGACTACTGGGCACCCCTGGAGGCTGGGCATCCACGATGCCTCTGTCCTTGTCCCCGTAGCCCCAAGCCGGGACCCTGCTGGCTTTCCCTGCTCTCTTTCGCATCAAGCACAGACGGGGCAGAGTGGTCAAGGCAGGGTTGTGATTTGGCCCCTAGGCCCATGGAGAGAAGCCCCCTCTCTCAGCTGTGTTACCGCCCAGGTGATCTGGGACTTCTGCCCAGCGTTGTCCCGGGCAAGCTGGTTCTGTGCCGCATGCCTCTGGGCCTTGGGTGCACCCTTGCTAGGGGTGAGGGCAGTAGGGTAGCTCACCCGCAGAGCTGCAAGGTGACCCCAGGACAGGACTGTGGCCTCAGAGATACCAGCCAACCCTGAACCCCACTCCTCTCGAAAGAGTCAACAAGGCAGGTCCTGTGCTCCCTAAGACTTGTGCTCTCTGCATCTGTGGGCGGATGGTGTCTACTGGGGCACCCCCTTCCTTGTGGGGGGCACACAGTTCAGATTCTGTTTGATTCAGTATAGCACAGGAACCTGCCCAGCCACAAAGCTGTAGGCCAGGGAGCAAACACTGGCAAGGGGACTGTGGCTGGCTCCAGGCAGCAGGCAAACAGGAAGGGGCAGGTCCTTGTGTTCCAGGGTAGGACCCGGTGATGCAAGAGGGGTTCCGAGTTCCAGATGCGACCTGGTGCTGCAGGTGGGACTGTGTTCCAGGACAGAGCTGGAGAGACACAGTCCTCCAGGTGCTGCAGGTGCAGTCCACGTTCAAGTCTGAGCCTCACTGGGCGCTCCCGGACACGCAGACAGGGTCTCGAGGCCCCATGTCCCATGCCTGCGTGTGCAAAGCCACGCATTCTTTTTTCAGAGGAGACACGGGGGGAGCTCCTCAGAGCGTGACACGGTGTGTTAGACGCAAGGAGAGCCCAGGGGAGGGAGAGAGGGGGAGGAGCCACAGGGACACAAGTGATCCGGAGAGGACCATGGAGAGGCGGGCACACGGGCCTAGGAGCCAAAGCTCCAAGGGGCAAAGCCACCGGGCTGCACCTTGCAAAGAGAGCAGGAAGGCTGTGTCTCCCTGGAGGGCTGAGCGCGCGGATGAGGCGGGAGGCCGGGTGGGTGTCTGCCGCGGGCCTCGTCCCGCCCTCCCGCACGGAAGCGGACGCGGGGCGCCCTAGGTCTGGATGAAGAGGTGGAAGTTGGTGCGCGTGAACTCGTGGTGGATGCTCTCGAGCAGCGCGTCGGCGTCCGCGGCGGGCTCGGGGGCGCGCGGCGAATCGGGCCTCCCGCTGTATTCCGGGGTGTAGGTGAAGGAGAAGGCGCTCGGGTAGAAGAGCCCGTCGGAGCGCACCAGGCTCACGGGCACGGTGATGGGCGTGCGCAGCCAGCGCCAGTCGCTGCCGAAGGCCGCCACGTCCGGCACTACGCACATCAGGGACCGCGGGCTCCTGGCGGTGCGGCGCCGGGCTTAGCGCTGCGGGGACCCCGACGATGCGGCCCCTACACCCAGCGGCCCGAGGGAGGCTGCCCGCCCCAGCCCGTACCTGTACATGGTCTCCGCCTCCACGTCCCCGAACCACACCTTGAGCCCCGCGTGGAAGTTCTCTCCGTGGAGCTCCAGCGTGGCCACGTCGCCCCCGCCGCTGAGCTGGGGGAGGGGGGACCAGTGGTGGGAGGAGGCGGTGCCTGAGCCCGCGGCGCCCCCTCGCCGGCGCCCCCGCCCCGCCCTCCGCGCCCCGCGCGCACGGCTTCACCTCGAGGGTGCTGACGAGCGGCACGGGGGTGACGGGCTCCCGCGTGCACGCCAGGCTGCTGTTGAAAGAGAACTGCACCGACTCGGTGCCGATGATGGTCCAGCACGAGCTGTCGTTCAGCAGCGTCTTGTTGGCCTCCTTGGGGCAGGCGGACGCCTGGGAAGACACGGATGGGACGGGCCAGAGGCGTTGGCCGCGGCCGCCAGCGTGGGCGAGGCGGCACGCGCCTGGGCCTCGAGGTCCATCTGCCCCCTGAGCTCGGACATGGCCCCCGCGTGCTCTCCCGTTAAGTAAGCTCCTTGAAGTCGGCTGCTTTCGAATGTTCTCATTTTCCAAGGATTCTAGAATGCTACTGTGCACCTCTGTGCCATTCTATGACCGAAGATTTCACAGTCTTAATATTCTTTGGGAAAATATTCATTTGGGAAGGAGTCATATGGCTTAAGAATAATAATTATTTGCTACATTATGTAATTCTTATTTAATTATTCTAATAGTCGGCTCAATAATATGCAGTAGCTATTGTACTTTTTTATTTACATTTGACAATTTTGTATCCCAAACTTACATGACCCTAGAATTCCTGGGGGAGGAGAGCTGCTCAGGAATGAGTGATTACTGCTTGTCCTAAATTCTGCATGTCTGCTCCCAGGGGCTGTGGCTCTCACACCCCGGGGAAGGCAGTACTGCTCAGTAGGCGGGACCATGTGTTCCCGGCGGGCAGTCTCCCCGCGAGGGTGGCTAGTGCTGCCATCCTCCGGTCTCACCTGGAACTGCACCACTTTCTCCGTGGCCAGGCACAGGTAGGTGCCGCCCCCTCCTGGGGGACCGCCCGGAAACTGGAAGGCACACTTGTGCAGCTGCGAGATGGGCTCATCCACGTCCAGGAGCGCACACTGCTTGGCTACTTTGCGAATGATCTGCGGCAGAGGGGTGGTGGGGAGGTGCAGGGGGTGTCTTCAGCCCCCCTCCCAGCCAGCTGTGCTGCTCTGACTCCCTCTGCCCCCTGCCCTCCCTTGTAACCCCACAAAGCACTAAGAATCAGCATCTTGGGGCTGGCGCTGTAGCATAGCCGGTAAAGCTGCTGCCTGCAGTGCCAGCATCCCACATGGGCACCGGTTTGAGACCCAGCTGCTCTACTTCTGATCCAGCTCCCTGCTATGGCCTGGGAAAGCAGTGGAAGATGGCCCAAGTCCTTGGGCCCCTGCACCCGTGTGGGAGACCGGGAAGGAGCTCCTGGCTCCTGCCTTTGGATTGGCTCAGTTCTGGCCTTTACAGCCATTTGGGGAGCGACCCAGCAGATGGAAGACACCCCCCCCCACCTCTCCGTAATCCTTTCAAATAAATAAATATATAAAAAAAGAATCAGCATCTCTATGTCTCAAGACTCACCCTCCAGCCCCACCCATGGGTGCCACCCCTTTGCATGGACCTGCGAGAGCCCTCCTTTGTCATACCATGGGCGGCAGCGTGATGCCGGTGAGCGTGCAGACGAGCTGCACCAGAGAGCCGTAGCGCACGTAGCCCTCTCGGGGAGGGAAGTCTCCTTGGGAGCAGTGCTCATCAGCTGGGGGCAAAGCAAGCCAGAAAGGAACAGGGCTTCAGGGGCCCCAAGCTAGCACTCAGGGAAGCAGCCGAGGCTGAAGTTTCTAAGCCTGGAGCCAGCACTTGGGGCCACCCCGGAAAATGTCTGCATTTGAGGGCAGGGTTCGGGGGTGGCAGCTTCGCATTGGCTGGGCTTGGGCACCAGCTCCTGGGGCTGTGGGCGTCCTTTGGCGTCTCTGAGCCTCAGGTGCACGGGGCAAAGTGTCCCTGCCTCGCCGAGCAGCGGCCGAGGCTGGAGAAGCGCCGGGGTCTGTGGAAGGCATTACCCAGGTGCAGCGTGAAGGCAGCCCACTGTCTCGCGCTGGCCACAAAGGCCCCGTTCTCCACGGAGAGGTAGCGCGTGGACACCGTCTGGGAGCGCAGGCGGTTGAAGAGGGAAACCCTTGAACCCGAGGAGATGCACACTGCGGGCGGGGGGGGGGGGGCGGAGAAGGCAGGATCAGGGCGCTGGGGGGCCTGGCACCCTGGGACTTCCCAGACAACTTCCAGTGCCCTCTGCCAGCCAGGACACAAGGCTCTCCCACAGTCCATGGCGACTTGTCTGGTGCCTGCTGTCACCCTGTTTCTGTGCCCTCCCCCACTCCTTGAGCCCAACAGACAGAGTCAGCCCAGTACTCACTCAGTACCTACCCTGTGCTGGGTACTGGGCCCCAAAGGCTTTGCTCTGGGAGATCACAGTTTGGGAGGGAAGGAAGGCAGGGATATAAAGTATCAATGTGAAGGAAGCCTTCCTGGAGGAGGCAATGCTCTCAACTGGGGGTGAAGTAGGAAGGAGATGATGGGGGATGCACGAGACAACACCGGCTGGTATTGGACAATAGCTGGCACTTACTGTATGCCTGGTAATTTTCTAAATGCCTTCAGTGTATTGGATTTTCTCTACAAACAACCTACAGAGGCAAGCGCTACGAGAGCACCTCAAAAAGTGCGTGGAAAAGCCGAAGGAAAAGATACATTCATTTTGATGCAAAGGATTTTTGAAGTCCATGCACGGTTTTTCCCTTGCAGGTGCTGAAGAGCACACATATGCTTGGATTTCAGATTTTTGTCACCCAAATAAAGTCATATTTTTAACTGTGTTTCCCACCACCTTTCTGAAGTGCTCCCTGCTGTCTGAAGACAGCAATGTTCTCATTCACAAAGCTAACAAGTGGCAGAGCCAGGACCCAGACCCAAGGTTCCGGGCTCCAGAATCTGCACCCTAACCACCCCCTGGGGCCCTCCCTGGCCCTTTCTGCATGCCCAGGGCTGGCCAGAACGCGGCCTGTCCCTGAGACCCTCGGGGGGCTTCCACAGAAAGTGATGTGGCCTAGGAGGAGGAGCCGCTCCACAGTCTCGCAGACCCCAGACCACTTCCTGTCTGGGCCACACCCCAGCCAGGGCAGCCTGAGGCCATGTAGGCCCAGGAGTTCTTAAGGGAGGGATGCATGCTGCAGCCTCACCGTCCTTACCTACAACCCGGGTCGAGGACAGCGCCTTTCTCAGAGACGTGGGGAGCACCACACAGGACAATGCAAGTTGGCCTTTGCCAATGCAGTGCCCGGGGCAGAGCCGGGCTCGCGGCAGGAACCCCACAGTGTTTTTAATTGGAAATTCTCCACCCCTTTATTGTCCTCACTCTGTCCCTGGCTCAGCACCTGCTGATCTCTTCGTGCTGCTCTTCGTCCCTGGCCCCCACCTGCAAGTCTAGTGTCCCACCCCTCTCCTCTGCATCTGCACGCCTGAGCCACGCCCACTCCTCCCCAGACCCGCCCCTTTCTCGGCTCAGGTCCCGCCCCTCTGACTCTGTGACCCCACCCCTCCACCCAGGCCCCACCCCTCTGCTGCTGACTCCACCCTCCACCAGGCCCCGCCCCTCGCCCTCTGGCTCCGCCCCCGCCACCCACCCAGGCCCCGTCCCGCCCCGCTCACGGTCGGTGTTTTTCAGCGACTGCTTCTTCTGCGAGGGCTTGGAGATGACCTTGATGAGGCGGCTGTGGAAGGTGCCCAGCTCCCGGCCCCCTGGCAGCACCAGCCGCAGCACCAGCCGGAAGTGCTTCCTCTTGTCCGCGTCAGAGATGTACAGGGTCTTGGCGCAGCCGAACTCCTGGGGGACTCGCGGCACGCGGCCGTCTCATCCCCGGCCCCGCCTCGCCGCCCCCGGGGATCTGCCGTCCGCGCCGAGCTTTGCGACCCCGGCCCGGGGGCTTAGCGACGAAGCAGGGCCTGGTCCCCGGTCTCCCTGCCCCACGACTGGGTTCCGCAGGGGCCTGCCTGAGCCCTCCCCCCAAGGACAGGCCGGAGTGGGAGCAGGAATGGGACCCCATCCTGTGCGCCCTCACCCTGGAGTCCGGCTGCTCCTCGAAGCTCAGCCTCTGCGTCTCGGCCGCGCTGCCGGGCGCGCCGTCCAGCCCCATGTAGCCGCAGACCGTGGTCCCGGGCTCCGCGGCCTGGTGGGCTGCAAGGGCACGGGTCCGGCTCTGGAGGGCTCGCGTGCCCGGCGGGCTTCGTCCTGGCCGCCAGAGGGCGCCAGCAGACCGCGTGAGCGGGGCTCCCTGCAGAGCCGGCCAGCCAGCCGCCCGGAGCCCGCCCTCACCTTGGCCCTGGCCGGGCTTCACCCTCCAGCCGGGGCCGGCAAGGTAGACGCAGGGCGGAGGGCAGAAGAACCTGCGGAGACATGCGACTGCCGGAGTCTCCATCCACCTGCACCTGTCTGTCTTGCAAGCATCGCGAGGGGGCATCCACCCAAGAAACCCTCCATTCCCCCTGCTCTCCCCAGGCTTCTCTCTGACTGTACCTCATCCAAATCCTATTATTATTTCTGGACGCCACTCATCTGAGCCACTGATGAGTCCTGTGTGCGCCATCCAACCATCTGAACAGCCCTGGCTTCCTTCCACTGCCACCACTGCTTTTTTGCCTGGGTTACCGCCAGGGCCTTGCAGCCCCTGTCCCTGTGGCCACTCCCCACTCCCCTGGCTTGTTTGTCCCAGTGGCAACCAGAGGGCTTTGAAAACCGTGGCTCAGATCGTGTTTCCCCTCTTAAAGTCCTCCAAGGGACTTAAAACTCCAAGTCCTCCTGTGATCTGGTCCCCAATTACTCACTCCCCCCTCCTTTTCTGACTCCCGCACTCTGGGGCCTTGTCAGTTTTGCCCCCAAGGTCTCTGCTTTCTCCATTTCTTCCAATCAGAGCCTGTGTCCCTCCAGATTTCCTTCTGTCTGGCTCCGATTTTTTTTAACATCTGAGTCCCGGTTCAGATGCAGCCTCCTAAGGGACTTTTTGACCTTGATCTTTGAGGCTGAAGCAGGTTCCCCTTGCCGCCCTTGGTTTCTGTGGATGACCCCCTCTGTTTGCCTTCTAGCTCTCAGCCTCATCTCCAGGTATCTGGGTGCCTGAATTGTGGGCAGTTTACAGGTGTCTGTCCCACGAGGGAGGGAGAATGTCGTGAGAGCTCTGCTCAGCCGTGTGCCCAGCGTGCAGCCGTGCCCACAGACCCTGGCACTTCCTAAAGAGTAAGTCACTGTTGAGTGAGTGGGTGAATGCGGACGGGCAAGCCACAGGGAGGTTTTGCCAGAGACCAAAGTGGCTGAGGGCCAGGGTCCCTGCTGACAGCTGAGGTTTTCCCAGGGATGGGGGGCTCGGGGCGGGGGGGGTCTTCAGGTTACAGCTCTCCTAGGAGAGGGGGCTGCTACCGTGGCACCTACCGCTTCTCATTTCCGTAGGACTTCTGCGCCACCTTGGCGTGCAGGATCCGCACCGTCTGCTCACACTGCCGCTGCAGGCACCTGCGCACGCCTTCCTGCAGCATGGTGGCCTGCTCGGGGGGTGACCTGGGAGGGCAGGAGGCCGGCTGGCCCTCGGCAAGGGGTACTGAAGGGGCGTGGTGCTGTGGAGCCCGCTGCTCGGGTTGGGGGGCATCAGGGGAGGATGGGGCTCCTGCTGTACCCCCAAAGTCAGGAAGAGAAGGTGGTGTTTGGCAAAGTGCGGGTGGGCTGGGTGAGTTAAATGCTTGGGGCTGCCAGGTGCCCAGTGACAGTTCCCTGCTGCTTGCAGCCTCAGGAAGATGAGGGGGGAACACTAAGGGCGCGGCCGTGCTGCTTCCGGGTGCAGACAGGTACGGGAGGGCTGCCAGCATCCACAAAGGTTGAGGGTCCCCATCCCGGGCGGCTTGCCGGCCCCTGGCCAGGAATGCCCTCTCACCTCGGGTGGGCAGGCAGGAACCTGCAACAGCGAAAGGCCCTGGAACCACACTCCCAGGGCGCAGTGGGGGTGGGGGTGGGGTGAGGCTCTGAGTCCTGCTGCTGGGTCCCCTCTCAGGATTCCCTGACCCCAGGGAATCCAGGCCGACCCCACTGGCCCAGCCCTGGGGACTCTGATGGGTGCCGGCAGAGGCCCAAGGCCTGTGGCAGCAGGTGGAACACGGAAAGGAGGCGGCTTAGAGACTTGGGGGTCTGGCAGGCAGGGCCGGGCCAGGACCACGACCCCCGAGGCTGGCCCCTGTGCCCTGTGTCCTCTGGGCAGGGGCGGAGGCCTGGCTCGCCCCACTCCTGGAAGGGATGGCGAGGACAGAGTGGCGCGCCCTCGGAGGCCGTCCAGGCAGCCGGCGGCCAGAGGCCCGAGCGCTCCGCCTCTTGGGTCTCTCCTCTGGGAAGCGTCTCGAGGCTTCCAGCGCATTCCGGCCGCGGAGAGCGTCGCCGCCCGGCTCCCGCGGCTGCTGCGAGGGTGGCAGGCGCAGGGGGCGCCGCGCTCGCTCCGCCCCAGCCCTCGGAGGCAGCGGGGATCGCTCCCTGCCAGTGGGAGGGGTCGCAGCCCGCGCTCCCCCTCCCCACCCGCCAGCCCGGGTTAAATGCGGCCGCCGCCTGCGCGGGCCCCAGCTGCCTGGCAGTCCCCACCTAGGGCTGGCTGCCCGCTCCGTTACCTGCTCCAGCTGCCCGCCAGGCCCCGCCCGTCTGCCCCGCTCTGCAGCCGCGCCTCTGAGCTGTCTTGCAGACTCAGGTGAGTCAAAGGGCCCGGGGTCCCTGCGGGATGCGCAGGGGTGAGGGCGTCAGGCCAGCTCAGGGGCAAGTGTTTATCGCGGGGGAAGGGGCACCGCCTGCCCACGGTGACCGCAGCTGGCCCTTGTCTCCTCGAGTCACTTCCAGGTGGAGCCCGGGTCAGGAGCCCCTCCTTTGGTGACCTGGCCCCTGCAGGGCCCCCAGGTGTTCAGTCCTCAGCCAGTCCTTGAGATCTTGCTCACCAGCCTCCCTCCCTTGCTCCCCCTGCGCTGAGGGGGTCTCCGAGGAGGAGCCGGGGTTCTGGGGGCCGCCAGGGCCACCACGTCGCTGTGTGGCCGGGGTGAAGACTCCCGCCACCCTCCCGGGCCGGTTCCTTCCTCTGTGGAAGTGTATTTGTGTGTGGGGGGGGGGGATGCTGGAAAGGTTATGACCCTGGACGTGGTGGCTCTCTTGACTTTCTGGGACCCTGGAGTGCAAGCGGGTGGGGGTGAGGTGGGAGGGGGCAAGGTGGGATGTGGGCTCCGGCTGAGAGCAGGACAATGGGGCCCTTCATCAGCACGGGGAGGGCAGCGGCTTCAGCAGGTAGGTAAGGATGGGGAGCGTCAGGGGTGCCCAGGGTGCCGGGCTCCGATGGCCCAGGCTGGAGAAAGTGTCCCCCACCCCCACCGGCCGCCAGCCGCTGGCCCGGCTGGCTTGGTCACCCTCCCACAAAGGGCCTGCCAGAGGGATTTTCTGTTCTGCCACCAGGCCTTGAAAGCGAGGGGGGAGAAGAATCCAGCCAGGAAGGCCGCCTGGAGTGAGCGGCTGGCAGGCTGTGGGCAGAATGGGCCCATTCAGGGAGGTGGGAGGGCGGGGCTGCGAGGGTCGGGGGCGCCGGCCCCTCTGCCGGGAAACCTGAGTGTGGGCAACCCGAGGTGGGAATGGGGGCTGGGAGCCAGGCAGGCGTGGTGATCCAGGGGCCCAGAGGGCTAGCAGCTGGGGGGCAGGGGTCCAGGTGGATCTAGTCTTGCCATTGTGGCTGGGTGGGCTGCCTTCCTGGGTCTCAGTTTTTCCATCGGCACAATGGGGATCCTTGGTGAGTCACAGGGGGTGTCGCCGGGGGGCCCGCGGGGAAATGAGCACTCACCTGTTGTCCCCACGGGGTCCATGGTCGCTCCCTTGTGGCCCTCCAGGCGCGTCCGGTGCCGCGGTCCCTCGGTGCTCCGGCCAAATATATCCTGCCCAGGCCTTATCTCCAAGGCCCCGGGTTCCCAGCCCCCTGTTTGCTCTGGGCAGGGACACCTGCTGGGCAGATGTGGGCTTCCCACAGCCCGAGCTGTTGCGGGCAGGCCCAGCAGACGCCCCCTGGCGGCCTTTCCCGGGCTCAGTCACTGGCCCACCGTCCCCACGCTCCCCCACGCCAAAGGCTGCAGTCTCTCCCGCTGCCTGCAGTGGGGGACGGGGCAGAGGGGAGGGGGCCCACGTGGCAGCGCCTCCCGCGTGAAGCCCCTCCCCTGGGGAGAAGCAGGCGCCTGATACCCCTGCAGGTGCACAGAGCCCGGTAGGATGGGCTCAGGATTCCAGTCTGGTACAGGCACTTCCTTGCAAAGCGATTCTGGGGATCAGGGCTTAGCTTCTCCAAGCCTCAATGTCCTCATCTGTATAATGGGAACAATGATAACCTTAGTCCCTTAGTCTCAAAACTGGTCAGAATCAAGTGTCGCAGCCCGTGAAAAGCATTTGACACTGCCCGGCATTTAGGAAAGCCTGTTTTCTTTTTATATCTGTGTACTTTAATTTACTTTCTATTTACCATTCCACAGTTCCACAACGTATAACTTTCTCCAGCTCTACAAAGGATCTTTGTTTCGCAGCAATCCCACTGCAATGAATTTTACTGTGAAACATGTCAAACGTGCACAAAAATAGATCAGTAAAATAAACCCACGGCCCTGTCGCTGCCCCAAGCGTCTGCACCGGATTCAGAGCTCCGTGAACGCCTGATTTACGGTTTCCCTTCCTCCCTCCAGTCCCTGACATCCTGGTTCTGTCTGGCGGGCGCCATGAGGGGCCTTCTGTGCTGGCCACTGCTGGTGTTGCTGCTCCTTGCCCAGCCCTGGGAAGCCCAGCCCCAGTTCACAGGTGAGCTGGGGCCCAGCCCGCACAGCCAGGAGGAGGAAGCTCCATCTGGGGGCCAGAGAGGGAGGGTTTGGGAGCTGCAGTTCTAGCGCAATGTCTTCATTTTTCCGATGTGGTTTAGTCTGGGGTTCATGCACAATTACCCACTTGATGTTTAAATTTGATGAGTTCGTTGAAAAAATGAAACATCGGGAGATTTCACATAAAAATTCTGATTTGGGACTTCTCTTGGAAAACAACAACAACAACAACAACAACGAAGGCTCTGCTGACATCCGGTCCATGTGGACACGTCTGCCCACTTAGAAGGTGTGTGGGTTCTTGGCTGTCCACAGCCCTACCCCAGGCAGTTCCCTTGTCCCCTCGTCCGTGCTGCCCACCCAGCCTGTGTAGGCCCTGGCGTTGGCACATCTCCCCCTGCCTCCTTCCCAATGGATGGCATCTCCCAGAGTAGCCCTAGGAACTTTAGGAGGGGGGATTTGTGAAATCTAGCCCAGGGCCACAGGAAGTGCCAGCGGTGTGAGTGAGTCTCATCTGGTTAAGGCTGCACTGAGCAGCGCCATAGCAGCGCTTGCCCTGGGTTTGCCTGGTGGTCTCCTTGGAGGTGAGGGCTTGCTGACCCAGCAAAGACCTCCCTGACCGCCCTGCAGGTCCCAAGTGCCACACCGGGCCCCTGGATTTGGTGTTCGTGATCGACAGCTCCCGCAGCGTGCGCCCCTTGGAGTTCGAGACCATGCGGCGCTTCCTGGTGGGCCTTGTCCGCAGCCTGGACGTGGGGCCCAACGCCACGCGCGTCGGCGTGATCCAGTACTCCAGTCAGGTGCAGAGCGTCTTCCCCCTCGGCGCCTTCTCGCGCCGCGAGGACATGGAGCGCGCCCTGCGCACCCTGGTGCCGCTGGCGCAGGGCACCATGACCGGGCTGGCGATCCAGTACGCCATGAACGTGGCCTTCAGCGTGGCCGAGGGCGCGCGCCCCCCGGAGGAGCGCGTGCCGCGCGTCGCCGTCATCGTGACCGACGGGAGGCCCCAGGACCGCGTGGCCGAGGTGGCGGCCCAGGCACGCGCGCGCGGCATCGAGATTTACGCGGTGGGGGTGCAGCGCGCCGACGTGGGCTCCCTGCGCGCCATGGCGTCCCCGCCGCTGGATGAGCACGTCTTCCTGGTGGAGTCCTTCGACCTCATCCAGGAGTTTGGCCGGCAGTTCCGGGGCCGCCTGTGTGGTGAGTTACGGGCGTGCGGAGGTTGAGGCTCGAACCCTTTCCGCACAGGAAATCCCGTCCTGCTGGGGCGGCCGGTGCTTTCCTCTGTGCCCCCGCCCACCGCGATGGTGGCAGATTTTAGCTCTGGCCAACTTTGCCTGGGCGCGGACCCTAGGGAGCCACGTGCAGCTGGTCCCGCCCACCGGGATGAGCGGTTTATCCTGGGCTGAAGGTCAAACTCCACCGCTGACCCCTCCCTGCACACAAGAAGCAATCACCTGTTTCAGTCTTGCCCCACCCACTTCAGTATGGCTCCGCCCATTCTATTAGCCCCTCCCACAAACGCTGCACCTTCTGCATTAGGGCACCTTTGGAGTTGTGTTGCCCCCATTGACAGAGCGCATGGGCACCTCGCCGCTCCACTCCTACCCCTAGCCCGTGGGCGCATCTAGTCCCGTGTCACCTATTCTGAGCCTGTCCACAGGGGCTGCTCAAGCCCTGTTGTTTCCCTAAGACCTCCCACCTGGATGGAGCCCCTCTAGAAGGAGGCCCACCTCTGACCCCACCCCAGGCAGCTGCTTCCGGTCCCAGAGGCGGCGGGCTGTGCCGGCTGATTCTAGCCCTGTGTGTCCTCAGGGAAAGCCCCGTGTGCCGAGGGGAGACACGGCTGCCAGCACCAGTGTGTCAACACCCAGGGCGCCGTGCGCTGCGCCTGCAACCCCGGGTACAAGCTAGCGGCAGACAACAAGAGCTGTCTGGGTGAGCACTACCCCTGCCCCGCGGGACCACCGCGGCTGGACCTGCTTTGGTTCCCTGTCGCCCCAGCATCAGAGCAATGAGTCCGGAAGGGTCTTTGGAAGTAGAAGCCCCTCCTTTGCTTTCAGGCCTAGGAAATGGGAGGGATTAGCCTGGGTCACACAAGTGCTCAGTGGGACCAGGGCTGGGAGCCTTGACTTTGTGTGCTTACCACAGCCCTGTCCCCCCTTTCTCAGACCAGGCTCCTCCCTGGCCCCAGTCCACCTCCCAAACTTGCTGCTGCTGCTGCTGCTGCTTCTTCTTGTTCTTTTAAAGATGTATTTATTTACTTGAAAGTCAGAGTTACAGAGAGAGAGGAGAGGCAGAAAGAGAAAGATCTTCCATCTGCCGGTTCACTCCCCAACTGACCGCAACGGTCGGAGCTGTGCTAATCTGAAGCCAGGAGCCAGGAGCTTCTTCCGGGTCTTCCACATGGGTGCAGGGGCCCAAGGGCTTAGGCCATCTCCCACTGCTTTCCCAGGCCATAGCAGAGAGCTGGATTGGAAGTGGAGCAGCCAGGACTCGAACCAGCACCCATATGGGATGCAGGCGGCAGCTTTATCCACTACGCACAGCCCTGGCCCCCAAACTTGCTTCTGTCTCCTCCCAGGCACACGCTTCGGTTTCTGTTACTTGGACATTGTGGAGGGTTCTGCAGGAAGATGAGCCTGCCCCCTCCCTGACCTGTGGCTCAGCTCTGCCTCCACACCCCAGTCCTTTCTGCACTGCTCCCCTCTGCCCTAGCGGTCTTTCGAGATCTGATCCTACCTTTTTGCCTCCTGCAAAGTTACGGCACAGGGCGCCTGGCTCCCCCAGTTGCATTTCGCTTGGTGGTGTGTGCGCATGTGGGCTCCTGGGCTCGCAATCACAGCTGCTGGTTAGTTGACTACTTAGTGGCAGGCATTGTGCCGGGAGCTGCAGACCTCCTCGCTCGGCCTCACCTGAAAAAAAAGGTCGTGTGTCTCCTGGGTTCGTCTTGTTTCTAGACATTTCAGAAGGTTGGCTGGAACCCCTGTGTGGTGACCGCGAGCCTTCCGTGGTTCCCCCAGGGGTTTACCTCTGGCCATCACCCCTGCTGTGAGCTTCTGCCGGTCCTTTTCCAGGTTCTCAACACCACGATGCTGTTTTTGTTCCATGCATGCAAGCCCGTTCTTTGGTTCGCACCTCTGCGCACACAAGGGCATGCGTGTGTGCGTACTTGTGCATGCGTCCATTGTACTCACCGTGGCAGTAGACAGGTGCGAGTTACAGCGAAGTAAAGTGAAGCGCACACAAAGGAAAGCCCCCACTCGTTATTAAGAGCACCCTTGTTCCTGAAGTCGGTCACCACGGGGGATTGGTCACTGGTGTTCCCAGCCCACAGGGTCACTCAGCCCCCCCCCCCCCCCCGACACCTCTCATGTTCTCTCTCTCTCCCTCTCTCCACCCCCTCTCTTTTCCTGGAGCCCCAGATTCTCACATTTTCACATAAGACAAGTCTCCTCTCTCCAGTTCCCACTCCCCAGCTTAGCTCGGGGCCATGTTTGTGCTTCCAAACCTTTCAGACACTCAACTTCCTCAGAGAGGAAATGGTTAATAGTCATTGCTCTCTTCTGTTATATCCCCATTTTGTGGATGGGGAAGCGGAGGCTCAGGTGAGTCGAGTGGCTGAGTTTGGTCTTCCCCTGGACATCAGTGAGTGTCTTGGGGACTGGACTGGGGCTCTGTCTTCCAGAACTGTGGCTCCTCATTCTGTTGCATGGCTCGCTAACGGGCACACTGGCTCTGGATCTTGGCTTTAAGTCGGGAGAGTCGCTTGGCCCCGTAAGAAGGCAGACTCACGCTTAGGAGAAAATGCAGATGCCTAGGTACCACCCCAGACGACTGAAGCCAGCACCTTTGGGCGTGGGGCCCAGGCATGGTGTTTTTAAGTAGCGCCCAGCTTCTGAGGGTGGTTTAGGGGTGAGAGCTGCCTTCAGCACAGCTGATTTGTGCTCTTCCTCAGCCATTGACCCGTGTGCCGAAGGGACCCACGGCTGTGACCACCACTGCGTCAGTTCCCCGGGCTCCTATTTCTGTCGCTGCCAAGCTGGCTTTGTGCTCCTGCAGGACCAGAGGAGCTGCAGGGGTGAGCAAGCCCTCGCACCCGCACCCTGGTGGCGGCTTCTGGGCACGGCACTCAGAGGTGACATCTCGCCGTCTCCTCCTCCCCACCAGCTGTGGACCCCTGCAGCCTTAGCAACCACAGCTGTCAGCATGAGTGTGTTAGCACTCTCGACGGGCCCCACTGCCGCTGCCCGGACGGTCACGACCTGCAGCCGGACGGGAGGAGCTGTCGCAGTGAGGAGGGGCCTCCTGCATGATGGGGAGGTGGGGGGGCCTTAGCATGCAGGGTCACTCTGACTCATCCCAACCTGTCTCTCCGTTAAGTCCGAGACCTTTGCAACAGCGTGGACCATGGCTGCGAGTTCCAGTGCGTGAGTGAGGGCCTCTCCTACCGCTGTCTGTGCCCCGAGGGGCGGCCACTTGAGGCAGATGGCAAGAGCTGTAGCCGTGAGTTCCGGGCGGGAGGTTGTTCTGGCCACATTCTGAGCATTCTTGACCTTGTCCTTGCCGTGGGCGGAGGATGTGGCATGGGTGTGGGGGTGTGGGGTGGGAGGGGGAGGGTGGGGAGTGTGCTGTGCTCTGCCTCTATCTCTTTCCCCGCAATCCTCTGCCGCGCTGCCATGGCTAAACCCTTGTTCAATCACACGCCTTCTTTGCTCAAAATCACTGTGGCTCCCTGGTGCCCAAGGAATGGAGACCAAATGCCTTAGCCCTGAGCTTTTCCTGTGGCCGGCCCGACCACAGTAGTGGGTAACAAAATCACATTGTGGGTTACAATGAGTGGTTTTCTAAAAATAGAGTTTGCTACAAGTAGCAAGTAAGTACTGTTTTGTGGAAGTTAAATTTCATTATATGTGGTCAGATGAAGTGCATCCTCATGGATTATTATTATTTGTGTTTGTGAGCTGTGGTCAATTTTTTTTTTTTTGACAGGCAGAGTTAGACAGTGAGAGAGAGAGAGAGAAAGGTCTTCCTTTTCCGTTGGTTCACCCTCCAAATGGCTGCTACAGCTGGTGTGCTGCGCTGATCCGAAGCCAGGAGCCAGGTGCTTCCTCCTGGTCTCCCATGCGGGTGCAGGGCCCAAGGACTTGGGCCATCCTCTACTGCACTCCCGGGCCACAGCAGAGAGCTGGACTGGAAGAGGGGCAGCCAGGACAGAATCCAGCACCCCAACTAGGACTAGAACCCGGGTGCCAGCACCGCAGGCAGAGCATTAGCCAAGTGAGCCGCGGCGCTGGCCTGTGGTCAAAATTTTGAAGCCACCACCTTCGCCCCTCAGCCAAGCCACCAGCCTGTCGCCTGCCACACTTGAAGGTTGTAGGCATGAGGCATCCTCCTACCTGTGTCACCAGCTTCCCTGCCCCATGGCCCTGCACATCCTGCTTCCCGCTTTCTAGAATATTCCTCTCTGCCTTGGCAAGCACTTATTCATCCATCAAGACCATCTCAGGCTGCCGTGGCAAAGAACCATAGTCCGAGTGGCTGCCACCACACCTGTGTCCCGTGGTTCTTGGGGCTGGGCACTCCAAGCCCCAGGTGCTGGCAGCAAGGTGCCGGGAGAGGCTGCTGTCTGGCTGCCGCTCTGCACCTTCTTGCTCTGTCTTCACTTGGTGAAGACAGGAAGTGGTTTCCTTCAGACTCATAAGGATTCCAATCCATTCACCAACGCTGCATCCTCATCATCTCATCATGTTCCAAAGACATCACCTGCTAACCCTTACAACAAGGAGTAGCGCTTTTCAAAGACTGATTTATGTATTTATTGGAAAGGCAGAGAGGCACAGAGAGAGCCAGAAAGAGATGGAGAGATGGTCTATCCGCTGCTTCATTCCCTAAATGCCACAGCTGGGGCGGGGCCAGGCTAAAGCCAGGAGCTTGGAATGACATCCAGGTCTCCCACGTGGGTGCTGGGACCCAAATGCTGGCGTCATCACCTGCTCGAAGCTGGAATAGGACGCAGGGCTGGGACGTGAGCCTGGCACTGCAGTAAGGGGTGCGGGCATTCCAATGTGGCAGCTGAACCCCCACCAGATGCCCACCCCAGGGGACTTGGGGAGACACAGTCACTCGGTCGCTAACAGAGGCCAGATGCATACCAGCATCTGCATGCAGCGCTCTTCGAGAGCCCCAGAAAGAAGGAGCTACGCTGCCCTGGGCTCCCTGCCTCCCCACCCACCCCCAGCACTTTCCTGGACTGTAGCCTACGGCACGCCCGACCTGCTCGGCTCTGCGCTGACCTCCTCAGGAGATTGGGATTGTGCCTTATTTATCGAACCCTCTTCAAGGCCTAGCAGAGTTCCTGGCTCAGATGAAGGGGGATGAGTTTGTAGGTGATTAGGACATGAGTTTTGGGGTCAGATAGATCTGGATTTAAGTCCTGGCTCAGTCACAATTGCCTATGGAATCTGGGAAAACCACTTTCTCCTTCGCGGCTTCGAATTAGGGAACATGGGGACAACACTCAAGGTTACGGGGAGGGCTGAGAACACGCGTGTCTTAGAGCACCTAGGTCGGTGCCCGGTGCATGGCCAGCTGCCAGTAATAGTATTTGTTATTAATTTACTGGTACAGTGCTTAGAGTGTGCCGGATCATAGTAGGTGATGAGTAAAAGGTAGCTACTCTGATGATGATTGTTATTATTATCTAAAAAGATGCTTTGAGCAGAGTGCCTGGTTTGTGCTAAGCACTTGATACATGTCAAGGGCTCTGGTGATGGTGGTGGTCGTGGTGGTGATGGTGACAGTGGTGGTGATGATGATGATGGTGGTAGTAGTGATGGTGGTGATGGTACTGGTGGTGATGCTGGTGGTAGTGGTGATGATGACGGTGATGGTGGTGGTGATGGTACTGATGATGGTGGTGCTAGTGATGATGGTGATGGTATTGATGGTGATGGTGGTAGTGGTAGTGGTGATGATGATGACGGTGATGGTCGTGGTGGTGCTGATGATGGTGATGGTGATGTACTGGTGGTGATGATGGTGGTGCTGGTGATGATGATGGTGGTGCTAGTGATGATGGTGATGGTACTGATGGTGATGGTGGTAGTGGTAGTGCTGATGATGGTGATGGTGGTGGTGATGGTGATGGTGGCGGTGATTTTGGTGATGGTGGT